TGCTGATCTTGCAAAGTGGACACTCTCTGCTTCTCACACAAAGACTTTGTTAGTCCTGTTTCAGAATATAAATCCAGGTTCTCAGGAAAGACCTCGTTGGTTGTTTTACATATTTGGCATATGCGTACTCTGATACCTTGACAGATTGAACATTGGAGGGCCTTCAAGTGTTTTCAAACCCATCTGAAGACTGGAGAATCTCTGACTTTCTCCACTATTTGTTTGAGTGCAGAGAGATTTTAGAGTCCATGTTACATTTATAATATGCAGCTGTTGTTTTAGTGACATCTTGGCTTAGAAGTATGGGATAAAAACTTGTCTAAGTGCAGTTCTTGACTTTTTTTGGCTGTAATTAAATTCTGGATCTTACTTGTGAGGGATTTTTAAGGAAGATCTGGAAATCAATCCTTTCTGCTGGCATTATTCCTGGCTTATTTATTTCCAATGAAGTTAATGAATGGAAAAAGAAAGAGGATAGGATATCACTTGTAGCTATTCTGCTTGTAGACCCATTTTCACAGGGTACTGTGAAGAAATAGGAAGAGAAAGGCCGATAGATTAAAAATAAAAATCTTTAGCATGTAATTGCAGAAAGAAGTGGTAGGGATTTAAGTCACAGAGGCTCAAATCCCTTGGGGACCACTTAAGAAGAATTACTGGACTCATAGATTTTAGAGCCAGAAGGGATCAACAGATTGTTAGTTTGACCTACTGGGTAACATGCTCCATAGTAATTCATCCAGCTAATTTTGCTGCTAGCCTAGAGCTTGTCTTTCCTGAAGTCAGGTGAGCTTCATGTGGAGGTTTAAGGTGATGAAGAACTCAATGCATGTTAACAGTTTGTCCTCTGGTAGTTCCTTCCCTGTTGCTCAAAATATGTTGATTCTATATTTAACTGCACTTTATATAGTTTCAGCCTCCTTTTTCTTTTTGTTGTCATTGCTGTTTTGTTAAGCTTTTTCTACTCTATTAGAAGCCTTCGTTACCTATTATTTTCATGATGTGAAAGATGCTTATGAACTGAAGAGTGTATGCTAGGTACAAAAGATGGATGAAACAAAGGGCATACTTCCAGACGGCAGTAATATGAGTGACTGGAAAGAACATCTGTTGTCAAGAAAATTGCCTCATTCTAAAGTAATCTGTGCGTAGCTGGGCTTCTCTGCAGCTGATGGATTGCTGTTTCAGTTTGCCTGTAGGTATTGGTGCCAGTATGCCAAGGGCACTGGCTCCCCTGTGGCTCAACACTGCAATATCAGGGTAAAGAGGTCTGCCCTGGAGGCAAGGTGATTCCAGCTCTTGGGACAGCTTTTGGCAATGGTGGCTGCCTATTTGGGATGTGATGCAAAGGGAGAAGGAATGAACATCAGACTGTGTGAGGCTGCAGTGAGTCAACCCCTCCGAGAGGGCTGGAAGAAATGTATAGTCTGTATAGAGGAACATTGGGCTGCCCTGAGCAGGAGGCGAGGAGTTCAGTTTTCTGCAAATCCAATTCATCTGAAGATCTTGGCAGTCAGGGGAGGAAACTTGCAGCAGAGTGCTCTGGTGTGTGTGGAGTGATGACTGTCAGGCTGCCTTCTGGGAAGGCAGGCCAATAAATGTGGTTACCATGTCCTGCAACAACAGTCCTGAAGAGGGAGCATAAACTAATCCTAGCATTCAGGGCAATATAAACTGCCTCCTTTGTGATGGAGTGAGCAGTGTAAGACTAATGGCTGAAGTATTGCACAACCATTGACAGAAAAAAATTTATATATAGGTGTCTTTAATAACCAGTGATTTTATCCCTTTTTGCCAAGAGAGAGAAATTTGATGCATCAATTAAAATTGTTCTTTCTGCAAGATTTTTTTGAGAAGTTCATCATCTTACAATCTTCGTGCTGCTATTTATTCTTCTGTTACTTCTTCTAAATACTGGATTTGTTCTTTTTGTGTCCAAGAACAAGGATCCTTCCTGTCTCTTACTGCATTTTGTAGTTTCAAAATTCTTTCTCAGAATTTCTCTTCCTGTTGTTAATGATATTAATTCAGAGGATCTGACATTTCTCACACAAGTCTCTGTTACTGAGAAGTATTATCAGAGGTATCATAGGATAAATATGGTAAATATGGTTTTGCAGAAAAACAGCACAAGGTATTTTCAAGTGGTCACACAGAGGAATGTCATTAGCACTGTGTAATTTGCTTGGAATAGTCCTGCCTTGGAATGTGTGGCAGTATTTCACTGAATGAAAAATGATTGTTGCTTCAGCTGCAGCCATATCTATCTTCCCGGAAAACTTCCAGCTTCAAAGGGAAATCTGGTTGTACAAGTTTGAACTGTGTTTTTAGCTGCAACATCTTTTCTGTCTTCTGGTTATCCACTGGAAATGGTAATGAAAACATGGCACATGGTCCTTTCAGTGTAACCTTTCTGTTTTTCAGGAAAGAAAAGTTCCTGAACCCGGAGGGTAATTCATTTCCTAATACCTTTTCAGATGTCAGTTGAAGGTATGCTTTGATGCATGCTAATCTGTAGAGTAAAGCAAAAGGATGGCACCTACCAGGGCAATGTCAAAAAATAAATACACTTGTCTCCTAAGTAATGCCTTCACAACAACTGAATCATATGAAGCACAGACTGATTTAATGGGTTGAATAGTCAAGTTCTTAAATTTTTAGTTAACAAAACATGTTGTCATAGGAAAATCTTCAGTGAACCTAACATTGCTGCTTTACACATAGTAGAAAAAAAAGACTGGTAATGGGAAAGACATATAACAAACATTTCCAAACTTTCAGAAAAGCAAGCCGGAAAGTAAAAAAAATGTATAACAAAATGGACTTTCCTAATTTGTTTTTTCTTCATGGGCAAATGAGCTATAATAAACAGTGAAAATAAAGAAGTCCTAGCAATCGATGACCTCTCACCTTCACCCCATCAAAGCTGCTCTTTAAGGCATTTTTCATACTCAGTTTGTTTATTGTTCCTCTGCTGCTTCCAAGTTGACTTTCAGGATCCCACTCAGAGTTTTGCAGGAAAAAAAATAGGGCAACAGAAGCAAAAGAGTTATTAATTTAAATGATGATTACAAAAATATGTGCAAAGTAATTATATCAGAGCTGTTCCTGTCTTGCTGAGATACAAATATTTTTATTGATGTTTTCCTCAGACCCTTTGGGAAATTATCAGACACATTGATATCTTTTGATAAGTTTCCCATGGCTTCTGAATTACCCTCCCAGTGTTCCAGGATGCCCTAATTAAATATGGAGATTAAATGTAAATTATTTCATATAATAAAGCCTTTTCCAGGAGCATCTCATCCACTATGTGATTGAGTTTGGCTTGAAGAAGATACGCAATGGAAAACAATTCACTTATGCTGTTTTATTTCCTCTGGTAAAAGTAATTCCTGTGTCTGTTGTTTGTATTCTATCTAGACAGCGAGAGTTGACAATGGAGTACTGAAAAGATACAAACAGAAAGAGATTAAAGGCAATTTTGTACCATAAGTGAATGTAGGTGTTTACAAAATGCAAGCATACTTATATTTCTGTTCATAAACTTTCTATTAGATCTATGAGGCAAAGGGTAACTTTAATCTTCCTGGATTTCAATTCTGTAGCTACACTATTCTTTATGATTTATTTACCTGTCACATACAATGATCACAGTTTTGTATACCTCAAGTAACTTGAAGCCAACAGTCTTCGGTGATAGCATCAGTGCCAGAGGTGAAATAATTTTTTCATGTATTTTTCCTGGCATCAAAGCATTCTGCAAAGACTGGTAAAAAGACCATCTGCATTTTAATTGTGTTAAACGGTGTGAGCTCTGTGTCATGCTAACAACAAATTTTGTGCAATACAAATTTTGTTTAACCCCTAAGGCCAAGTGGAGGTTAAATGGCATTTGCTTTTGATCCAAGTGCTAGTCATTTGATAAACACCTTTTGCCATACATGGCATAAAGGTGAATTAACTGTTGATCTTACTGGCATTGCAGTGTCAGAAGGCCTAGACTGCTATCACTTTCCTCCTTTGCATACTGGTTTTTTGCAGTGTAACTCATTCTGACCAGACAACATGATTTTACTTCTCTGAAAGCCTTCTGTAATTTTCCTTTTTGTGTCTCCAGCCTTGGAATTCACATGGTTGAAGGATGCAATGTTGTAGAAGCCCATTTGACAGGTTTGCTTCACATCTGCTTTAGCAGCATACCTGCCACACCAAAAGTTTCAGTCTGAAACAGGTACTAAAATTTGTTTGCAGTAGATCTCCATTGCTTAGCAGAACACACGACACTGCTCTTGCCAAGACTGTAAGCAAATGATGCATGTTCTGCATTTTAAGGGTTTCAGTGACAACTGAAGTTTGTTAAGCAGAAAGGGGTAGCATGGAAACAGCACTGTTGGCTTGCTCTTAGAACCGCCATCAGAGAACACTTGCCATGGGAATGTTTGAACCAGTGGTGTTTTCTTGTAGCAATTATTTATCATTGTTTCTGTAGAATTAATTTCCATGGAAAATATGGGTCGTGCAAAAGTTAAATTTCAAAAAACGTGAAAGAGTCTGACCAAAAACTGAATTTTTGCATGAGTAATTTTGCTTCTGTCGAAGATGGAGTTCGGGCTCCTTATTCTCTTATTTTTCTCTGTTGCCTGAGCTTCGCAGCGATGCCATCTGTCTCTTCTCACCTCGTCAAGAGCAGAAAAGGTTTGAGAGAGAGGACCCCGCTCATGGATGCAGAGCTTGGCTGGGGACCCTTCCCACGGAACAGCTCGCAGGTGTTCGGTCGATCAGACTTTCCCTACACACATACTCCTGCTTCTCTGGCAGGAAAAGCCCCATTTCCCCCAAAGCCGAGAGCTGCACGCATCCCTCCAGAAAGACGCCGAGGAGCGGGCGGCAGGATCCGAGGGCGGGGCCACCCCCCCGCCAGTGAGCGACAGCCGCGCGGGCCAATCAACGGCGGCGCATCCGGCATATATTTGCATATGTTTGCGCGTTGCCGTGGGAACGGCACGGGCGCGGTTCCGGGGTGCGGGTACGGCGGGGCCAGGGGTGGGTGTGGGGACCCTAAATGTGCCCCGCGCCGGGAAACGTGTGCCCGACTGTGCTGCTCAACTCTCTTCTTCCTTCCGTAAGGGGCAAACTGAGCCAAAGCATAACATCAGAGAAGCCCGGGTCTTGGGGACATGAGGGAATTTTGACCCGCCCTTTGGAGCGAAGGTAATGGGAGTTTAGGAGGACACTAAAAATGCGATGCCTTCCACGGTCTCCTGCGCGTTGGATCTGAATATGCCTGTGGACTTTTTTCATGCAGGGCAGTGGAGCAATGGTTGGGTGAGGAGGCACTGTGGTTTTCCTTCTCTCCTGAAGTTCAAGCACCTCTTGTCCCTGGCAAGTAGACACGGGCGGATCCTTGGGATCCTTAGCTCACAACCCAGTTCTGCTAGCTTTCACCTCATTTCCCTGTGAAACTGTGGTGATGGTACTGGTAACAGTCCTGGCCTGAAGGTCAGTCAGCCAAGGCTCAAATAGTGCAGTCCTGTGTGTTGCCCTCATCCCACTGTACCAGTGCCTGCTCTTAATGCCAGATGACTGAAGTCCCACAGAGATAAAGAACCCAGTTATAAATAACTAGGTCTATCAGCAACGATTTGGGTGACTTTCAACCCTCAGACCAGCCAGCTGGTAATAAATGCATGTGTAACAGCGCTTTCTGCAAGGATAGTGCATTTATTCTCTGGATTTTTTTTTTTCCTGCAGAAGTTTGCCTGGCAAAAAGAGTGTGTGAGCATTTACCAGGTCAGATGTTCTGGCTACCTAGTTCTGCACTTCTCCAGGGAAGTGGATGGAGTTAATTTATAGATGTGTTTTAAGGACAGGAGAATACAACTGGAATAATCATGGCCAACCATTCGGATATTGAGAGCTAGAAATGTTATCTTTGTAAAAGGTAACTCTACCTGACACATAATTACTGATTCTCCAGTATAACGGAAGTTATCTCTTCCAGTTCTATTCCTGGAAAATATGTGATGCTCAACAGTAATGAAAAGGTTTACTAAAAAGCCAATTTGTTTTGCTTTGTTTTGCTTTAGTTTGTTTTGTTTGGAAAGTGCAAGTGAAACAGAAAACTTTACTGTCATTTCCAAATGGTCTATCTTAAAGCTTATTACAAAATTTATTTGTGAGGTACTGTCAGTGAACTGATTGCTCAAGTTACAAATTAACACCATTGCCTTCATAACAAATTTATACACTTTACTTAAATTTACTTTTCTATTTACCAAATTCCTTAGGACATTGATCTATTATCGGATACACTGGTTTCTAACCAGGTGAAATTATGGTTACTTAGTAAGGACCTCAGACATACATATCACTTCCTTTAAGCCACATTATCGGAGGATATTTCAGGCTTATATTCCATATGTATTTCTATTGGCTCATGAAATTTAGTTCTGTTAACTAAAGATTTATAAAACAGAAAGCAGGACTATATGGACAGATGTGTAGATAACAGCTGCAAAATACAAAGTGGGAAAAAGATCATCATTAAACATAACAAATATATAATCATCAGGACCGAGGGGTACCAGGTAAAACTTGACATTTTTCCACCATGTCCTCTCACACCAATTATAAATTACTATTGATTTAATCTGGAGAGAAGAACAATAATGTAAAAGAGTGATGTTTTTTGAGATTTGTTACGAATAAGAACCTTACAAATGAGTGCTATAATGCTGTCAGGTATCTTGCTGGACATGATGGATGTTTTGATAACACTCCTAGCATGCTGTTGTCTCTAACAGATTCAGTATGTGGCCATTTCTTTTTTGTAACGCTGTGTCATGACTGTTCTGCAATGTTTTAAGATGTGCTGTACTGTTCATGCAGAATACAATGAGCAAAATAATGTCTTGTTAGGTGTACCAACATTTCACAAAATAATTGGGTTGTCCAGAGTTTTGTTTTTCTAGACCTTTTCCACTTTGGATCGCTTCATCTGCTTGTGTAGATTCCCTCTGATTCTTTTCTGCTGTTGTGGTTTTCTGTTCATCATTTAAATTTCATATTTTAATAGCTGGTGTATCTTGCTGGGGATACTAATTGTCATGGTAATCAGATTATCTGTTTGAATATCCTGTTCATAACAAAAGTAGCAAAAGCCTTAGTTACAGAGTCATTTATCAGCTGGAGCACTTTCTTTCTATTCAAAAATTATTAAGGTTGATTTACACCATAAAAGATGAGAACATTTACCCTTACTATTTTCTCCTGTATAATGCAACTGTGTTACTGCAGATAATTGAAAAAAGTGTCTTTCCAATACTGAATCACTTTACACTTCAAGTGATAGGCTCTCAGCACATGTGCAGTGTCATCCTTCTGCTGATTTCCACTGACTTGTGTCAATTTGTACAAGCTGACATGCCTGGCTTCTATTCTTTTGTTTCAAACAGGCTGAGAACCAATTATGAATTTATCCATCCACCTATTTTTTCTCCCTAACAATTAGCATACTTTCTTGAAGTAGTTGCATAGTCATCATCAAAATCACTGGGAACCAGCCTGATTCTGTACATATAAGTTCCATAAATGGAAATGTTGAACAGAGACATGAGCTAGAAAGTACAGGTACTTTGAGCTGTGTAAACTTACTTGCTTCAATGCCTGCTTTTTCTCATACTCCTGTGCTGTGTGCAGGTTGAACATACCCAATCTATTCATTGTTTGATGCATATCCAATATGCCGTTTATGATTTCCAGGGTGTTAAGTATCACAGATATACCTCATTAATTGAAGATTGTTAAGAATATGATGCGTAAGTATCCCTAGTGTCACACATATTGGGAATATGTCTGTGCTGAGTTTCACACAAGAGCAAGTGTGAAGGCAGAGTAACATTTGTTTAAAATATGAGATGTGTGTTAAAGAATTATGAGTCAAACAAAGGTAATCCTTGTCGTGATGAGTTGTGATGCATCACTAAGTAAAATACAAAAAGCAACAACTTTATTTGTAGAGCATAAAGGAGATCTGAGAGAGAATGGTGTTATTGGAGCAGGTCCAGGATTTTGAATGTTGAAAGTCTGAAAAATTACATTTTTTTACTAAAAATGTGTCACTTTTCCCATATATTTTAATTAGTAGGAATCATAATTCCTTTATGTAAAGGATTTCAGTCAAATCAAAGGAATTATTTCTTATGTTTGGGCAGAAGACATAGTAACATGAAAGAACTTATGTGTCACTAGAAAAAGTCTCCAGCTTTCTCTGGTAACAGTGTCATCAACTGAAATCAAATAGAGCTAATTAAATAAAATAAATTTAATTACTGCATAATTATGCATAAGGCCTTCTTAAATACCAAGTATACAATGACTGCTGTTGATGTGATTTTTTGATTGATCCATAAAGTTCTAGGTAGGAAGATTATCAGATCCAAAGAAAGACATGGTCATTTTCATAGGTCAGAGGAAAATTACAAAAAACTTTGACTAGAATGATTGTCTCATCACAAAAATCACCTTAAATATTTCTATAGAAAACCTCTGGGGTTTATATTTTCCTTTTCTTACATTGTAATGAACCCACAGCTCACAGACACAAACAAACAGACTTCTCTCTTGTGTACTTCGTAGAGGTACATCTTTGAAGAAAGTTTCAGTTTTGTCTAACCAACACTTCGAACAATGGGAAAAATGTTCACTAGAAAATTCCCAGGCAGTTCTAGCCTGTTTGTATATGGCAGAAAATAGTGGCTTTTTAGCCTGGTATATTTGGGGTTGGGTGTTCTTGCCTTGTCCTTGTAGCTGGCTGCATCCATGTTTAACGAAGGCGTAACCACCAGCCTCTGGGCTGCAGATGGTATGGGGGAAAAGGTATTGCTATATGTGCAGCTGATCCCCTAATGGAACAAGCTCCACACTTGGATGTTTCTGAGTGTACATTACTCATAAGACATTTAAACCAGGTTGCTGCAATGTTAGATTTTACAGACTTACAAAGTCTTGAAGCTGCCAGAAGTGGGGGTGCGTGCCAATACTTGTATGTTCAGAGATTGCAAATAGTTTTTTAAGATAGGAGGATGCATAAAAGTATGGATCATGCTCAGCTGTGACAAGATGAAGCATCCTGACGTAAAAAACTATGGATTTCCTGCATCTCAGGGGTATTTATTTAAGTTCAATCAAATAATAGATTATTCTTTTCACATGACTGAAGGAAATGATTAGTCTCTAGGACTAATCAAAGGAGACTCCTCCAGCCAGAAACTGTGGAGAAAATGCAGTGCTGAGCTGGAAAAATGTGAGGTTTTTAATGTGTGGTTAATTTGCTAAAAATATTGTTGGAAACATGAGAATGTTTTTTTTCCTTTTATCTTTCAGTGAAAAACAGATCCAGCAGTAAGATGCTACAAATTGTCCAATATTTTAGTCCAGCTTATGTTTGAGTACTGTGTCTTAACAGATTTCTAAGATGATTTATAATTGAGCAATACAAAACAATATTTAGTACAAGAAAAGGTAAAGCTTAAGATGTTGGTTTAATTTAATTTGTTTTCCCTTAGAGAATAACAGGAAGCCTCATAGAAGACATTTTATTTGGAAAGAGCCTGAAGCAAGGCTTTTTGGCACTCAACAAAGGATGTCAGTTTGGTCCTTTCTGACACCTCTTTTATATGTAAATATAATGAAAACCCAGTAGAGTGGAGAAAAAAGACTTACCTTCATCTTGACTGTAAAGTTAGGAATCAGCCTTAGAAAATCCTGTGATTGGCCTGATTTAGTATTGGGGTGCTAGAAAATCTAGATTAATTTCCTTCTTTTTCGGACTTGCTCTGTTTTACTTAGCAGATCACTTACTTCATCTCTCTCTTTCTGTATCTTTCATCCTGAGTTGTTGTTTAGACTGAGTTGTCGTTCTCCTTTGTCTTTATAGACAGTCCAGCCCAGACTGGGAAACCAGGATATGTGGGTACTATTGTAGTGCGGGAAGTTTTGTTTATTGCTTCTTATATAAAGCTATTTGACATATTTCAAACTTATGTAACAGTGAAGTTAGGTATTACAACTGAAAAACTTTTCCTTTAGAATACTTGCAGATTTAGTCCAATATATATGAATCATCCTTATTAATTGACCCACATAACAACAACTGTGATGTCACAAACAGAAAGCTTATGGCTCCAAGCAAGGCATGATGAACAGGCAGAATGAGTATACAACCCTGAGTGTAGTATTGAAGAAAGGGAAAACAAAGGGAGAACTCAGAGTGAAGTGGGGCTTTGCTTAAACAAGGGTTTACACAGCCAAGAACTCTTGAATCTGAGGTACTGAATTAACCAGTAATTTTTGGCAAGCTAAAATTAGTTTCTTCTTTTTTTTGGCACTGACAGCGTGATCTATAGCTAGGCTTCCACCAGGCTGTTGTACTCAGATGGCACCATTTTGGAGCATTACATTTTCCACTTCATTTAATGTATTCTTATGGCTTTCATACTCTTCCTCAGGCAGATCAGCCAATGCTGACCTTCTCATAACTCTGTTACAGGAGTTCTGATTTTGTAAGTACTCTCTAACTATAGATGAACTCTTCAAAGAGCCTCATGGATTTAAGCCACTGTAACCTCAAGCAAGTACTTCATATAAATCCTTTTCATAGCTTTTTTGAGAACTGTTTTTAAAAAAGTAGTAAAGGAATCAGTTGTTCCCAGTTTTTATTTTGCTTGTTTATGGTCTTCTCTGGAAATTGTCTCTGCTTTTGGATGGAGTCAAACATAGTTAAGAGGGGTTTTGGGTTTGTTTTGGTTTGGTTTTTGACGTGTATAAGCTTGAAAGCTGTGTGACCTTTGTTTTAGCTCTATTTTTATTTGGTGCAAGGATTTATCTCATCCCTTTCTGTGCTGGCAGATGAGAACAATGACAGTAGACCAGCCATATAGTTTAAAGAGAGTTTACAGTCTGTTACAGCTACACATGGAAAGTCTGTGATATCAGTCAGCATCCATAAACTGTACAAAATTGTCACAACTGTTCTTTTATTTTGTCCATTTAATAAGCATGGTTATGTCCTGGTAGTAGGAGGCTTCATACAATGTGTTCTTCCATAAGGTAAGCTCTGTTTTTTTCAGCTGAGAGGTCTCAATGTGGAATTCTAGCTAAGTCAAAAGCAGTAGTGTTGAGAACTCATTGGAAACAGCCAGTTTAATTCCCCAGCTAACACAAGTATGTTTTCTTCAATTCAGTCAAGGAATCCAGGCTTATAAAATGACCTTATAATGGGTTTTGAGGAATTGTTTACATGAGAGAATCAAGATAGATGAAAAACAGAGAGGGTCGCTCTTCAGAAATGGGCTGCATACAGGAAATAGGAAACGTATGTGTCAACTTTGCTTCCAAGTTCCAACACTGACATAAAAGAAGACATAAAGAAGGCCATTTCAGGGAAGAAGTTTCCACTTACTTGTATAGGTTGAATCACACATGGCAGCTAAGAGCAGGCAGCATTAGTGAAGCATGGATAATAATGCTATTGCAATTTCTGGTTAGATGAAGCTTAAAAACAATGTGCAAGAGTTCCAGTTCCCTCTTCAGGACAAGAAGATTAGAGATGAACTGAGATATTTGCACTCTTGTCATTCTGTTCTATTTTGGTTCTCAGCCTGGTGCTGGACTAGCCATAGTATTTCACTTGTTTTTAATTAAATTTAACTTCACTAATTGTAAATGACCTATCACTGCAGTTCATGAGATTGTTTTTAAGTATTGTCCTCAGTGGAACTGCAGAGGAGAGAAACGTTTTCCCACAGCTATATGCAGTGATCAACTGTACCTTCCCACTTTATTGAAAAACATATTGCAACATTTTTAAAAGGAAAACATAGGGAAGTTTTATGTTTTGAAATGTAAAATCACAGTCTGATTTACTTCCACAACTTTACCACTGATCTCAAGAGAAAATTTGCACTGCTCATATTCCTTTTCATTTCACACTGAATTTATAGGAAGTTTCCAAATAATAACAGTCAACTTGGCAGGAATAAATGTAGACCAAATGGTGTAATCCCCACAAGGAAACATAATTCTCTTATGAAGTATTTACAATAGCAAGCTTGGAAATCCAACAATAAGATATATTGTTAATAGATTGTTTATAGCATCTTTTATTGACTGATTCATTCCTAATGGCAACAGATTTAGTCACCTAACATTCTTCATGTGGCAGGCAGTTCAATTTTCACTGTTGCTTTAAGAATCCTCTCAGGTAGCAGAAAGTTTCAGTCTGACATAAATCAATAAATAGGACATAAATAGGACCTTACAAAGTTCAGAAGTTCCCTGAAATGTAACTGAACTTTCTGATGCTCTCTTCCTGTGACCCACCAATAACCCTTATCTCCCCTGCCTTCATGACCCTTTAATGTTTCCCTGGCTCTCCATTCCCTTCATCCTCCTAAAGAGCTTGGCTACTTCCCAACTTGGATTCATCCAACAGGCCACCCTCTTTGGAAACTGTCCCAGTCTTTGAAACAGCATTGCAGTACAGTAGCCTCAATACTAGTTTGCAGATTTAAATTTCGCATACTGCTGAACCTGTTATTTTGATATCTGAACTAAAAATTCCAGCGCTACAGTTTTGTGTAACCTTCAACATACATTGTATGTGTACCTGATAGCTTGAGACATCAGAGGATACTAAATCCTTGTACGTTACCATATTTTTCCACAAACTGCAGTTATCTAATAGAGTTTTAGATGAGGTGTTAACTTTGAGTGCGAAGTCCCTCAAGAATTTTATTTTTAACAGCTAAGTGCAACATATTTATTCACAGAGATTCGTTCCAGTACAAATCACACATTGGGTCTGATGGTCTTCACATTTTCCAATTTGCCTACAAATAAATCTGAGCTTCACAGAAGATTTTTTTTTTTTAAGTAAGAAAGTATCCCAGGAGTATGTAGCTTTGTGAGTATTTAAGCAAGCAGTGTCAATGCAGCAATCTAAACACTTTATGTGCCTGGCAAGAGGATGACTATGTACATGAACCTGTGTGACGACTTTTTTCACTATTACCCATGTCCTTAAGACATCCCCTAGAACATTTATGAGAGACTAGAATGAGGTGAGTGTGTCTCTGTGGCACAGATAAAGTTTAAGTTTGTCATCTGAAAAACTGCGTCATTTCCCTTCTGGATAGTAAAATTCAGCCCATGGGTTCAGAGGTGGGAGTGATAAGGGTGAAAAGGCTGTTGAGTGGAAACAAAGTCTTCCATGGTAACATAACAATACAGCAGTAAAGAGCAGATCCAGGTTGGTTGGTTGCAGCTGAGAAAGTGAACCGAGACAGGTCAATGGAATCTCTGGATAAGTCTGTGCGTTAGAAATCCCCTAAAAATTTGGAAGGAATGAGATGAAGTTTGGAATAGTTGGTAAGGGCAAGGTGACCATTTAGCCAACCGTTTCTTCTATTACAGAAAACATAGGCTGTCCTTGGCAGTTGCCTACCTGTGCAACATGCTACCTACTTTTTTTCTTGCAATAAAGCAGTAGCCTCTACCATACATGCGTATGGTCTGAATTTTATTTTCTGATCCTTAGAGGACCAGGTTAAAATATTATAAGAATGAACTTTTGAGGGATACAGCATGGATTTATCTGTATACAGGGATAAACTGCACAGTGAAAAATTGAAATATATTTAGTACTGTGTTGAGACTAAACAAATGCAGTGGCCTTACCTTCTCCTCATATTGCATGTGCTTCAGCCCCCAAAGCATGTCACTAGCTCTTACTAATAAACCTGCTCAATTTTATTAGTAGCTCTCCTGTACTGGGAGAATCAAGATTGGTTACAGAATTTGAACCACCACCTCACAAGTGCTGAATAAAGGGACCTAATAATTTCCTTCAACATACAGACTGGAAACACTTTGCTTTCTGACAGTCCCTTTGTAGATTAGAAACTAACATCCCTCAGCTAAGGGACTTTTTCTTATTTCTCTGGAGAAAGGGAAATTATGTTTATCAACATAAAAAGCTTATTTTTATAAAATTAAGGACTGTGCTAGAAATACCAGTTCTGTCAATAACTCAAAATAAATCCTACTGAGTATACTCCAAACCACTTGCATTTCATCAGCTTCACTTTGTGCAAATTCATCTTCTTTCATATCCTTCACGACTTTCTGTCCTCTGAGGCTAGAATTTTAGATTTACATTGTTCAACTGCTCATTAAGGGTAAGGATATATTTTATGTTATTTATCTGCTATTTAAAAGTACAAGAGTATTAAGGTTCCTTGTGATAAACCACTGGTTGGTAAGCTTAACAAGGAAGAAGACATTTATTAATATGTACTAATTTCATTTGTTTCAGGATCATGTAAGAACAAAAGACAAACGGAACACACACAGAAACCCCCCTTCTCTACTGAAACAGCTATTAGGTGTAGCGTTCCAGCTTTGAAGTCCCTAATATATGTTGGCTCATGAAAATGGATTAAGAAGATGTAGAATCATTTTGAATAACAGACTTTCCCAAGACCTTTATGTGCAGGAGAGCACATACATTTCCCAAAATGGTATACCCTTCATGGAAACAAATACCAGGAAAAAGAATGTGAACAAAACTTGTAGTGCTCTGTCAGGTCCTGGAGAAGCCCCTAGTAGTATCTCTAGTACCTTGCCCTCAGAGCATCATCTGGCACCATCTAACGTGCAGATCCTCCCAGAAATTTTCCCAAAGTAGTACATCTAGAAGCTGGACCCCAGTAAAGGTGACCAGGCACTGGATTAGCATCAACACTGTCAGATTTTTCAAACATGTCTCAAACGCCCTTCCCACCAAGGAGACCTGGCTTGAAGGTATGCTATATCTGTGGCAGAGAATTTGGATCACAGTCTATTTCTATACATGAATCCCAGTGCCTAAAGAAGTGGCATATTGAAAACAATCAACTACCAAAGCACCTTAGAAGACCAGAGCCCAGGAAACCTGAGGTCCTTCCTGGTGGTTCCTATACACTTACAGATGAAAATGAGGCGGCTTATCAGAGTGCTCAAGCTCAGCTCGTGCCCTGTGGAAACTGTGGCAGAACCTTTTTTCCTGAGCGTCTTCCTGTGCATGAAAGGTGTTGCAGAGGAGGTAGCAGCGCTCATAAATCCGGTAAAGGACCAAGATCTGGAGCTGGCTCAGAAAGATATGATCAATCTGAGAACCATCAAGGAATGAGTGGGGCTGCATCAACTGCACAGGTAAATTGCTAAGCATGTGCTGTATGAAAGGGTGTGGATGCATCTCGATGCTTGGATCTCCAGGGGAGACTGGTTTCCCATCAAATTTAAAATCACTTCCCTTCCGAAAGACCTTTTGGCTCCATGAAAAAGTTTATCTGCTGAATAGTAGAAAAAGAAAAGTGGAATACTGGGTGCATGGGGAAACTACTTATTCTTATTTGTTTCAACTTTCTTTTTGAAAGGGAGTAGTTGGGTTCTCCTTCTTTGTGGTCCTGTGAGAGTTATGCCCTAAGAGGGACCATTGTTTGCTATAGCTCCCTAGACAATTCTATTGAGTAGCTTAGGCAAGGTTTGGATGTTATATGTTTTAGCAGATATTAGGTATTTTTATTTAGTTAACATGAAAAGCAATGTTTCATTGTCCCGTAAGCACTCCAAAATGATTTTCATATTTTACCATTTTTCTTAACCTTGGCATGGAACATGAGTTTACTGAGGACTGCATGTTCAAAGGCAGCAGCTCTGGGTTTAACAACAACAAAATAAGTAGGACTGCACATTTCTTTCCACTGAATTTGATTCAAGATCCAAGAATAAAGAAGCTGATTCACATTATCCAAAAACTATACAGAGTTTTGGAAAATGGCTTATTTTTTTCTGCTATTTTTTCTGCACAAGCTGTCTTTTGGCCAGGAGTTTTGTAAGATAGTTGTCTAAATTTAGGCCCAGTGTCTAAATTAAACAACTTTTTTTATTTATTTTTTTTAAATGGGGTTTGGAATCCTGTTTGCCTACCTTGCTTTTGAAAATGAGATTTAGCTCTTTCAGTCACCAAAGGAATGCAATGGTATGCAGAGCATTTCTAAAGATGCTTTAGAAATCAAAGGGTGTTTACCTGTTAGTTTACCAGCTGCTGAATAAAATAAAGATAATAGCATTACCCTAACTCACATGAGACTAAGACAACAGGAACTATTTTTTTATTATGCTATATGAGGCCACTAACTGATAGATACTGGCAAATAAAGGTTCACTCCTTAGGTCTTCTATCAGCAAATTTAAAATAATTCCAAGGAGTTCAAAGTGCTGCACAGCTGCATCTATAGCTGTAGGAAGGGTGATGTTCTTGTTTTACACTACAATGTACCCTTTACCAAAGAACTGGCTTTGCTCTAAAGGTGATTGTTCAATGAAAGGCATGGGTGTGAAACAGAGAGTTTAATCCATCGCACGTAATTCTGTAGTTTAACAAAAAAAGGGGCGTGGGGGAATTGGCTATAGTTATAATGCCATTAAAAAGAAAAAAAAGAAAAAAGTTTAGAATGTGGTTTGGCATTGACAGTGATTCTGTAAAAACGTTACCCTCTTGCACAACATATCTGCTCCCTGTGTGGATTCAGTCACATCTGCTGACTTGTTGAACAACAACATTATTACCACTTTTTAGTTCTGTGAGCTCTGCAGAGCCAGAGTGAAATCTGTTCAAATCTGTTCTTCCTTCTGTGTGAACGACAGGTTTCCTCATTTACTTCCAAGCAGTTACAGTTCATCAGTTGCAACAGAACTAATGAGGCTGTACAGCTTGCAGTTTGTAATAGACTCTAAGCAACTTTATTATTAACAATGACTTTCAAGAAGGGGTGATGGATTTTACCTCTCTGAGGTCTTTCATTTTAATATTTTTAGAGCTGTTCTTTTGTACAGAGGCTCACCTTAAAGGCAGAACAGAAAGACTGAAAGAAACATCCTGTGATCCAAATGGTTCTTCAGGACTGGCAGACAGCTTATAGGAAGTGGTCAAAGGAAGCCTCTTTTCCATAGGTTTAAATTCTCTGCATGAGGCTCTCTATTTATGGTTGAAAATTTTGAAAGGTCCACAGATGGAAGGATGTGGAAAAGCACTAAGCTTATGGAAGAACTGCAGATTTGCTATGAACAGGGACAAGGTCTGTGTCCCCTTTACAGTCTTCATCTTTTTCCAGCGTATGTTTTTAGTTTTGTTCACCTTACCAGCTCCTCAGCTACTTATTAGTTCTGTTAAAAAATAGTACTCCATTAGTGCTGGAGTGAAATGGCAATATATTTTGGTCCTGTCTGGAAAGCATTTGGGGCATCTATTGTCTCATTTAACAGACTTACTTGCTGTGATCATGAATTGTTTAAGTACTTATTTTAAGTCCTGATTCAGCAAAACATCAGAGGAAAAGACTAGCTCAAAAAAAATCCAACCCTTGTATAAGTGTATTTAAGAGAAGTAATGCTGCAGTCAAATTAATTTATGCAATGAAAGATACCCTAAATGAAAAAGCTGAATTTTCTTCATTTGCAAAATAAAAGTTTTGACTGATTTGGTAGTACAGCATGTGAAGAGCATTTTAACTTTACAACTGCAAGCACTTCTGTCTGTGTGCCTCTGTCCTGGAGCTCCCTCCCCTTTAGCAAGTGAAGGGCCAACTAGACCAGTATCATTACTGACAAACTCTTTCACAATTCTGCGCTAAATGTCTTTAGAACTGGAGGCACAACAGCCTCTGTAAGCCATCTCTTCCACTTACTGCCCTTGCTCTCAGAATCAGTGAACACATCTGAGTTGATCGTGTGTGGCTTTGTAAACCAAACCACTGCCTATGCTTAAAGACTCAGAAATTCTGCTGTGATACCCCCAAAAATAGAAGTGATGTCTGGAGCTACTGAAACTGAGACTTGCACTAAAACAGAGTCTATGTTTTATTCTTTCATAGAAAAAAATGTGTGGTATGTGTAAGTGAGCACCAGTGACTTGCTGTGTGTATGAGTTACAGGTTTTTTGACAATAGATAACGCTGATCTTGGAAGCCTATTGATGTATCGCTAGCATCTGGTGCTGCCATCTGCTGTTTTCTTATCAGGTGAACTACCTAAAAAGATTTCACTAATCTTCCTTTGCTGTATTGCAGTGCATTTTAACACAGCATAAACCTTGAAAATTCATGTAGCAACAATGTTGATGCTGTATTTTGCTCTAGCATAAAACCATCTAGGCATTTGGTAAAAGGAAGACTCCTTCAGATACTGTGTAATTCTAACGAAGGTGGAAAGTCAATGAAAAGCTTTGCGTACCTTGATTGCAGTGGTTTTGAACACCTTTTTAGGAGAATACTGACAAACAAGTTTTCAAATATGGAAAGTTAGTTGAGAATGGAGAGTGAACAGATGGTTCGAATGAAACTTATCATTGGGAATGATTGAGTTTCTTGCCTTTCTTTTTGTACACAAAAGCCATGTTCATTATGCTGATGTATTTCAATTAAAATAAAATACATCAGGAGCAAAATGGGATATTCTAGTGCTCCCAGCATAGTAATATCTTTAATTACCAGCATCATCTGGCAAAATTACCTTGCTTTTCAAAGAAATTTTATGCACAGGCATATAGGACACCAGTCCTAACATTTGAGCTGTTGTGTTGTGGCTGAAAGTGCTCCAGTGGGGTGTGAAATGCAACTTTGGATAGTCATGAGACCCATGCCACAGCTTGTCCCTGTCCCTTATGCAAAACGCTTTCTATTTTCCAGAGAGGAGTGTATGAAAAGGGCTGCTTTCATACAACAGAATGGTGCTTCTAAGTGTTTGCATCAGTCTTGTCTTGAGCCTCTGTTCCCTGGGCAATTCAAGTCTATGATGAGAGCTCTGTCCTAGAGAAAGATGCTTCCCCTCTTCCCATTAAAATACGTGGATAACTAAACAAATAGGAGAGGCAGAGGTGTGTGCAGTCCTGGATGATAAATATTTATGTAGTGGAGTTTGGGAGACAGTCTTATTGTGTGTACTTAAGAAGAAATTAAAAGCTTTGTGCAGTATGGAAGGATTTGACCTCATGTAACACCATAACAGCAGCCTGGGGCTAACCTCAAGTAATGTCAGGTCTATTGAAAATACATAGTTGCATAGCCCTCTGAGCTAAATAACTTCATTCATGGTCACGCAGACATACTTAGCAGTCTAGGAGAAAAAAAGAAAATACTGAGACACCAGAGGAAAGCCTAACTACACTGTTAGGTATTTGTAGGTATTTTTATAATAACACATATCCTCAGGAACAGACCTTCCCTACAACCCTTTTTAAAAGTTAAAAACAAAGCAGTGAGCAGACAGCCTAGCCACTGGCCTGTGAGTAGTTTGGGTTGGAAAATTGTGGTGTTTCCAAAAATAGTTTCATTTCAAACTGCAGGCCTCCAGATGTGACATTTGGGATAAGCACACTCTGAAGAGAAAAAGAAATGAAGGGTAAATATCATCAGCTGTAGAAATTCCAAGTAAAGCTTATCATATCTTGGATTCCACAGTTAAAAAATGAAAAACCTGTTACTACCAATTGTAAGGCTAATCTCCTTCAGGTTTTATTTTTCAGGTTTTTAACATGTGTGCAGAAAAGGATTTGGGAGTATAATTTTATGTGTGGTGATGATTCAAACTCACTATTTCTCTGGAAAAAAAATAATTCTATCCTTAGAGTGACCTGATTCCTTTTAATTAATTCTGGTCTCTGCTATTGTTTCTGTACAGTTTTTAATTGTGGAAGTTACAAAAGACAGACGTATCTACTTGAACAGAGTTCTACAACATTTGTACCAGGATTCCTTTTTCGCTTTCTGGTGGTATATAAAGAGTACCTACAGACCGAATACAAATCAAATTGCTCTTTCCTAGTTTTCAGCCAATAAATAACCTATTTTAGTGAATGGCAGGAACCTAGCTAATGAAACTAGTGAGGAAAATGTGTTCCCTGTGATTTTACACATAGCATTTTTTAAGGAAACCATTTCTAAAATGCTGTAACATGCCCAAAACAGGAATGCACACTGAATTGAGTCCCCTGACCTCAAGAATTCAGATTATAGTATCCTCATCTAAACCTCTCCAGAGCCTACAAATAAGCATATAGTCAAACAACTCCATCTGGACCCAGGGTCTTATCTCCAAATCAGACAAGATTTAGCTCAAGACTTGAAGCAAAGAAGTAGATGAAAATTGATAGTGAAAAATCAGAAGGTGTTCTTACAACAGCTGTTGATATATTCACCTACAAATAGGAGAAGGGTATGTTTTTATATTTATTAGAAAATATACATGTATAAATACTGTGTAATCAAAGGTAGCTAAGGAAATTCCATTTGAAAGTCAAGAGCCTGAATATCTCCTTGGAGAGACTGTCTTTGGATGTTGTATTTCAAGTCACTGTGAGAAATTTCTAGATTAAGTCCACCTTTTCCCGGCAAAAATATACTTTATAGAGTAGTATTTCTTCTTGTAATTGAGATTACATGTGTGATACAGGAAAGCAAGCTTATGCAGATTGTTCACTAATGACATTTTCAGACTGTAACGTAAATCCGAGAAGAAATGCCCAGAATTTCTTGAACACACTGATGGGCTGACAGAGTTATAAATACTGGAACAGGTTACTCTTTGTCTTAAACAGCAGCAGAGGAAAAAATTAAATCCCCACCTCCCTTGTTTGAGTGAGAAAGGCTTCCCATGTTTGGTCTGGCATGGCTGTCCTCTATGTTTAGGAGGGCAGGGGATAGCTCATCTCTTACTGGTATTCTGCAGTCAGAAGTGTAGGAAGTGCTGGCAGTTGTGAGACCCATTTGTGTGCCTCCAAGTTCTGTCTCTACAGTGTGTTTTTACTCTACTTCCTGGAACAGGGCTGGTATTGACACCACACCTAGTCCAGGACACACCTAAGGACACAGCTGAGTCCATAATCTGCCGTACCACGGTAATTATACATTTTTCAGCCTTAGAATATGTATTTGTGAGGTCTGGGGCTGAGGAATCTTTTTCTTCCATTGTTGGGCTGGTTTTTTTCTGAGAACAATAGCATATTTGAAGTGTGAAAACAATAACTTGCTTAGAGTCCAGTTCTGCACTCGCTACAGTCACTGGCAAAGTTCACACTGAGGCCTTCGGGATAAACAAACAGCAATTCCTATTTTGCCCCTCATCCTGAAATATCCTGGGTTGATTTTAATCCTTAAAGGCCAAGAATTCCATCAACTAACTGACCTGTGGCGAAGGTAACATAGGGTAAGGGACCACAGTCACTGCTTGGGACAGCTGCCCTCATTGTCCAACTTTAGAGAGACACTAAAGCTGGACACAGTGGTTTGAGCTGTGTTCTGCCAGAAGATGGAGTCTTTCTGTTACTGCAGCTGTGTTCAGCTGAGGAAGATTTTGTTGCTGCTTTACATGTTACTTCTGCTTGGTCCATAAAAAAGGGCTTCAACCATTTAAGATGGATGCTGCTCCTCAACAACTTGATGAAGCAGAGCTGTTTCTGCATGTGAAGACTGAGCATTTCCATGACCTTGAAGGTGTGAAAATAGGAGATGAAGCTTACATAGCTAAGTATTAGTCACACACATGAATTTTCAGTCCAGTATCTGCAGAATGAACCCACCTGTTAGAGGCGATATCTCTTACAAGCTTCAAGACTGAATCCAAACAAAATGAAATTGATAGAAACAGTTACACTGATTTCACAAGTATCAGGTTCCTTATCTACATGACTGTTTTCATCCACAGTCATTCTGATTCAAAATGAATGTTGGAAATAGTATTTATTCTTCTTCACCATTGTTACTTGCAGGCAAAAGTGATAAAACGACCACCAACAGTGATTTGTTACATATGTGGTCGTGAGTATGGAACAAAATCTATTAGTATTCATGAACCACAATGCCTGAAAAAATGGCACCAGGAGAATGACAACCTACCCAAGCACTTGAGAAGGCCAGAACCTAAAAAGCCTGAAGTCAGAATTGTGCAAGGTAAGATACATACTAAATTAAGATATGGGACGAAGAAAGTGGGAGGAACAGGAAAAAAAAAAGAAGAGGTAATTTAAAGTAGTAGATAAACTGTTTGCAAGAACTTCTTTCTTCAGTTTACTTGTTTTAAGCTTTTTATTAAGTATCCAGTTATTCTGTAAAGCATCCGTGAGCAGTAAGAGTAGTCCCTGACTCTGGAACATGGCTCCTGGGGCAGTCCCCTTTATGTGTCAGTATATTCTGAATCAAAACACTGCATCACTACTTTTTGACTCCTTTCAACACTGTAGATAGGTATGTTTTGAAATAAGCAGAAACATCCAAGAATAATGTGCAGACTTGACACATACAGTCATTAAAATAAAATACCCTCAGGCAACATAGGTATAGATGCTTCAGCTATGTTCTTCTACAGTCAACATCCAGTGGATGTTATTGATCCCTTTTATTTAAAAGTATTAGAAGCTTTCATTGTGAGATATTATAATATAAACACGGTGGAGAAGAAATACAGGTAGTAAAAAAAAAAAAAAATTAATTCTGCCAATTTGGCATGTTTGTGTTGTGGATTCTGTTTTGTAAGATTCCACTTCTTTGAATCAACAAACACTGATGATCCCCAGCACCCACAGAGATAGGCTCTGGTGTGTATTCCAGGGGGGATGTGCTCACTGTAGGACCAAAAACAAAGCCTTATCTGCGCGTTGCCCAGAAGCTGTTCCCAGGACTTCCCTATTCCCATGTAAAGTTATTTCACCTTTTCTTCTGGATGCTTTCCCTGGCCCTCCCAGCTGGTCTGAGCTACTTTGGGCCAAGTTTGGACCACTTCCTCACAGGCGTTTAATCCACACATGTTTTTTTTTATATTCCCCATAATTTCCCTCAGCTTCCCCTAATGTCTGGAAAAGTAGACAAAGTCTGCTACAACTCACTGTGAAGGAGTCATACACTAGGTCAGTTTACAGCAGTATAAAGAAATATGTCCTCAGAAGACACACAGAGGAGAGCAGGATCACGGAGAACACTAAACAGCTGTTCAAAATAATAATCAAAGATCAAATAATATCAAATCAGAACTTGGTTAACAGATGCCAAGTGGCAGAGTTGAATCTGTAGTAAAAGATATGTTCAAAAGATGTTTTCATTGTATTTGCTCATTTAGATGTTAAACACTTTTTAGTTATTACACATTTTGGGGTAAAACAGATTGGAGAAAATGAGAATTCCATGTGAAAGAGAAGGATGCAAAAGGACAAATCTGGGGTTTTTTTAAAACCACTGTTCTTATTTTGAAGGAGTGGAAGCAGAAAGACAGCAATTCTTTGAGAAAACAGTCTAGCAGAAAGCTCCCAGATATGAATCAGAAAGTTGTCTTATGCAGTGAGTCATATCAGGCGCCTCTCATCTCCTGTGAAGTGTTGTGTGCCCATGGTTCCCCAGGGGACATTGACCTGCTTCCAGCATATGTCCCCAAATGCCTGCTGATGCAAGCCTGATCAGTTCTGTACCTTGAGCTAAAATTTTTGTTCCCCCTGCAGTTGCCTCATACTTCTGGCCTCAAGAAAATAATCTCAGTGTCGTTCTTTTTCCGTAAGAGTTACTCTCGATCATCTGGTAAATGCTATAACTGACCTTGAGACCACATGCATGTACTGCATGTCTCACAGTTTCTCAGCTCAGGGAGAAGGGATTACCCCTGTTGTTGAATGAAACAAATGTTGAATGTTCAAAAAAAGCTCAGAAATATTAACTGCTTACATAAAACTTTTTATAACTTACATAAATCTTTTTCTGAAAACTCAAGTGTCACGGGAAGACAACCACTGCCCTCATTACACAGTGTTTTGTTTATGGAATGCCTAACACATGCCTGCAAGGAGAAAGTCATCTCTCTTTCTCCCCCCCCTTTTTTTTTGTATTCCATAAACTCACCAAAGTACAGAAAATACACATTCATTTCCTGCAAGCAAAGGGGATATTTGTCTCAGCCAAGAAAAGAAACACTACTTGGTTGCTCTTCTAACAAAAAGAACATTAGGAACAGGCATATTAAGAGATCTAAGGCTTATTGTGGTTATGTGAACCATTGGATATGAATCATATTAAAATTGTATGGGCCTTTAATGAAGGGCTCTATCATGTGCCAGTGACAGAAACCATGGAATTTTTTTTAAATGCACAAATGCCTTTCTTTTAAAAATTGAGCACTGCTAAAAGTTCAAAGAAAAAAACAGATTTTAAAATCTTTCTCTGTATTGTCATACTATTTGAGAAGGGTGAAGCAAGTACATCTTCAAGCCATGTGGATTTTTTTCTGCATGTACTTCAAATGAAAACTCTAAAGAACTAAATCCAGGTATTAAGCAACCTGCCTGGCCTTTTTGCAAATCAGTTTGAGACAATAGTATGTGAAAAGAAAAGTCAATTTCAAGATGAAAGTAAACAAGATTTTTTTTATACCCAAATAAAATCTTGAAAATACATCTGAGTGTTTGAAGAATGCTCCCGTGTTTTCGAAGCAGTCATTCTTCCCACAGTGGAAAATAACTGAGGGCAAGACTGGATTAGTGTTTAGATCACAATAGATGCATCAGTGCAATGACCTCACAGGAAGCTGTGGCTTAAAAGTACTGTAGGTTTTGTCTGTAAGGTTTTGGGCTTATCTAAGATTTACTCCAATTTTTAGCAAAACTTGCATAAACTTCAGTGGGAAGAAAATTGAACCCCTTGTCCAGAGCAGTGCAAAGAGCATATTCTCAAGTATGATACGTTCCCGCCCATAGCCATGGTCAGATAACACATGCTCATTAAACAGAACTTGAAATGAAGCCAAAAAGTGAATTTGCTGATAATAGTATGTGTGTAAAGATGTTAGTAATTAACTTAGAATGCACATCATAACACACAGCATGATGTTTTCTCTGTACTCTCATACAATACAAAATTATTCAGTTTGAAGTTAATTTAATTCAACCCCTGGGACAAAAAACAGAGTCTTTTTTATGTATTTTTTACTCTTTTGCTTCTTTCTTTTCTTTTTCATTTGCAAAAGCAATATGGTTTGGTTAAACTGAAAGGCTCAGTCAACAGGTATTTCCTGAAAATATTTTCCATAAAGAGTTGAATGTGGGTCTCCAGAATGAAAGCTGATACTTTCTTTTTCTAATTTTCCAGCCAAAGGTTTCTATGATCTTGATTCTTTAAATGAGGCAGCCTGGAGCAGCGCCCAGACCCAGCTAGTTCCATGTGATATTTGTGGGCGTACTTTTCTTCCAGACAGACTGATCGTCCACCAGAGGTCCTGTAAACCAAAACCTGCAAAGTGAAGTGGATGTAACACACATACATACAAATACACGCCTGCTAACACACGAACACACATGTTTATCCCAAGCTCAATAAAATGTGTGTGTGTCTGTGTGTGTGTGTGTGTGTGTGTGTGTGAAGGCACACACATGCACCCATACCTTTCAGACAAACCATCAGAGAAATAAAATTCAGCTGAGAGGCACGGCCATCAAAACTGTAGTGTGTAATCATATCATGTGCTCCAGAAGTCTCTAGAGTAAAAATCAGCAGTTGCTACCAAAGGATAAGGTCAAATACAGAAAATTATTTCCTTGATAATTTTGTTTCCCCTCTACCAAAGACTTTCTGGTTAGTGTAAGGAACTGTAGCTGAACTTGACTAATCGGAGAAACCAAGTAGCTCCTTTAATTAAGTTTGTTCATTTTTGTTAAAGTTTTGGGGGTTTTATGGGAGGGAGGTGGTGTCTTTGTCCATTTTCAGCACAAGACTATTCAAGGATTCCCACTCAGAACTTAAATCCAAGGAACACTCCAGGGTTCATATCCTTGTGTGACAGTGCATCATGAAGACCTTGACTGCTACAAGTGAAACATTCCCATATAAAGAGACCCAGTCATGGGCCATAGAAGCAGAAATTGGCTACTTCTAGAAAAGACCCCAGAAGTGCCCTCTTCTTGGAGCATTTTGTGCTTAAGAATGATGCTGACCATTTGATTTATCCTCAGCTCAGTAAACTGATCATGCCAAAAATATTATAAGTCAGAGAAGCATATCTTTGTCATGAACTTTGTAAAAGGAAACATATTTTTATGTCAAGATAAAACATGCATAGTGTCTCAGATGGTTGGCATAAAATACCACCCTGCCCTCTGTACCAAATGTGGCCATAACAGTGCCAGTATTGGCAAGAAGGGTAAGTATACTACAATAAAGTGGTGGTGGTGCTATTTTGTTATGTAGAAGAATCAGTGCCAAAACACATCAGTGAATAGGCTAAAAACATAGAGGAAGTAATACTCACTTTTACAAGGTACAGCAGAGAGCAATTATTATTATTTTACTTACTCTGTAGCATTTTATTAAGTGGAGAGGTTATTCAAAAGGTATGACAAAATCCAGTACAAGTTGTGGAACAGCAATCTATGCTTCCTGATATTATGAAAGAAACTGTATATCATGTATGTTTTTGTCTGCGGGCTTAAGGCCCATAATTGTCTGTTATGTATTGTGTGATCAATGTGACTTTTCTCAGAGCATTCACACTTACTACTGTACTTAAAAATCAGATGAAGTGGATGCCTTCATAGACACTAAAATGAAATATGGGTACCAGCAACTTTTCCAAGATATCAAGCTGTGTGATTTGTGGAATAAGTGAAATAAGAAGTAATATCATTGTTCTGTTATTAGAGAAATGCTCCTGGCTCCAGCCCTGGCGGTCTGTTAATTCAGACTGGAGTGGTACCAGCATTCTTTGGTGAAAATAATTTCCAAAACAATCAATGGTACCTCGGCAGCCCTTTCATCTTCAGAATGAGGATTGTATAGTCTGAAGATAGATATCTTCAGGAGTCAAAGGTTCAGTTTCTGTTCTACAGAACAAAGCTGTATAAACCCTGCAGATCTGTCCTTGCTAGTGTCTCCAACCATGAGAGGTGCTGGCAGAGCTGGGCCAGTGCCATCCCTCCTCCTTTTGACTCGAAGAAGGCATGTGGCCTGAGGAAAGAAGAACTAGGGCACTGGTTTGTGATTGTTAAACTGGCTACTCGGAGCTGTTGGCAGGCAACATACACTGTGAGACCTTGAGGCTGTTCTAAGTCACACCAACTGCTGGCGGGCTGACAAGTGGTTTGGTAATTGGAGGATTATGGGCGTCATACAATCTCACCTTTATGTCCCCTCTTCCACTTCTTGGAACCCACTTTCATTTCTCAGACATGATAAGCATTTTTTGGCTACATCTCCCTCAGTGGGTCATCAAAGTTCACTAAAGTCACTTCAAGAGAAAAAGCATGTTTTAAAGAAACTAAGCCTTTGTAGAGTCACTGCAGTCCTTGGCATTAAAAATTTAGCCCTTCCTTTTGGTGGGATTCAGATGTCAAAGTCTGTGTCATTCTAAAAGGTAGACTCAGTGATGATTTTAAATCTGTCAGAAATTTCACCCAGAACAGTTTTTCTGTGTTTCATTGTCAGCTCTACATGTGTATATTTTTTATTTTCTAGAATTTTATCCCAGAAAGTGATAAAATCTGCCTGATGAGCTGAGCTGAATGTTTATAAACAACAGAGAAAGTACCAATATTAACTGTACTTTTAATGCGCTGTTGTTACCCAGAAATACCACTGTATGGGAGCTTCTGAAACCATAAGTCTGGACTATGGTTTCCAGGTCAGCTTTTACAAAAGCCAAATGAGGAATTGGTAAATTAAGAGCTGTCTCTGCTAATACGTGATTGCTGCTGAGCTCTGAATTTAACGTGGGATTTGAGAAATGGTGAGTCAAGTCAGCACTGGGCTGTGAGGGCTGATGGTGAGACAGGAGCATGCAGAAACTCAGGAGGAGGCAACAGCCCTCAAAAGGATCTCAAAGATTGTACAGTCCCCTTCCTTCCACAAGTTTGTGGGTACAATGATTTCCAAAATATGTAGAAATATAAAAAGCACTGACATAGAAGTGCATATTGTTCCATTTCAAAGACTCTCACTCACATCCCCAGGTTACTCTGTCACAAGCTTCTCTGCTGAGCTCACCAGCCCCAGTGTTAGTTTGTGCCAATGGTGATGGTGAGTTCTATTGCAAACTTTGTTCACTGGGAGAAGCACTGATAGTACCTTCATGGTTTGCTCTCAACATAGTTAAAATGAGATCTTTTGAGCATTTTTCATTATTGCTTGGCATGTATCATTCGGACTTTTTTGCAGGAGAGGAAAAGGAAATGAGAAATTGAGCTATGTTGCCTCCTTTGTTTCTGTACTTGAGTGATTTGTCACTTTAACCTTATCTCATCCACTGTTGGCTCAATGTTATTTCCAGCTGAATCCCATGTTTCCTACTGCCACAACACATTTAAAGAGCTGAAAAATGTCTTCCGGTACTTCAAAACCAATGACATTCCATCTAGTTTGCCACAAATGTGCTGATAGCAGCCAGAACTATTCCTGGACAAAATATACAGAAAGTGAGAACGTGGATTGACAAGAAAAGTTCGATCACATTAAACAAATGAGCATGCAGTTTCAGATTATAAATAAAAGCCTTAACTCATCTTTTAGTTCAGCCATTTGAACCTACCAGTTCCAAATAAAAAATGGGATATTTTATAAAAGCAATTCTGAAGATTGTAGTAAGTTTAACTGTAGACATCAAAGAACCCGTAACTGCAGAAAAGTATTATGTCTAAAGTTGAAAGTCACAGTCCTTTAGTTACCATACAAACTTCAAAAAGTCCTCCATCTTTAAGGGTGATGCCTGAAGCCCCTAATGGGTTTTTATTTTTCTAATATTTGTAAGCCTTATAAGTTTTACAAGTAGATTTTAAAAGCAACAACCCTCACTCCCTTGTCCCTTTCCCTGTAGCACCCTGTAGCACCCTTAGTTTAGACATTCCTTAACCCTCTTACCCCATTCTATGTACCAATCATTCCTGCTCCTGAATTCAGTGGCAATGTTTAGTCTCTTGTCAAGGCAAGGCCCAGATTGTTTGCAGAACAGCATATCAGGGCCTGAATGACAAAATGAAGTCAAGAACTGGGTGAATATGTACACTCTGTGCCCCGAAGAAGATGAAGATAGATGAAGAGAGGGTCCCAAAAAGCCCCCAGCCCCAAATCCCAGGGGGTGGACCTGGGGTGGTCCAGAGCAAAGGCCACAGGGTGGACGCATTTGGGATTGGATGGATGGTATTATAAAATGTAACATCTCAGGCACGGCCTTCGCGCGTCTTGTAACATCTTTTGCCTTGGCGCAATAAACCCTTTCTTATCTCACACCTAATTAACTACTCCAGAGATTTTTTAGTACCAGCCGAGCAGGCATCAAGGGCAGTAGCAAAAAATGCCTGGTAGGCCTTAGCAAAAAAGTTTCTTGAACCGTTTTTCTTAAGGGCTACCAGTACTTAGTAGACTACAGCTTGAGGAAAAAAAATTTGTAAATGCAATGTCAGTTTCTGTCTAAAAGACAGTGAGAACCTACATGTATCTGTGAATTCTCTCTGCATGGCACAGACCTGGAAAGCATATAGCACCATATAGAAATTATGTTTTTGGCATTGCCTCTTGACCAATGATAATTTAAATGCTTAAGCTTTAGTTCAGAAATTGTAAACATAATTTGATTCTGTACTCACTGAAGCCAAATTCTGCAGTAGCAGATGGGTACAGGATGGAGCCAGAAAATCTAAGAGATTAATCAGATGTTGACACGTATATGTCTTAATCAAATTAAGTCCTGCAGTTTTTTATGATGGCGCACAAGCTTTCGTAGCCTATGTTCGTTTAACAATAGAATTTCATAGTTGAGAATTTTGGTTTTAATACCCAGGGAGGTGGTCTATACAGAGAAATTCTAGGTGGCCTTTTGTGTAAATCAGTATTTGCTTTGAGGGTCCTGTCTGCCCAAGTGATTAGTTTGGCTTCACTGTTGAAGGTTTCTGAATTCTGTATTTCTGAGCTGTGTTCAGTGGGTTCAAATGAGTTTGCTCTGCCTGGAGACATGCCACCCTCAGCTACACAGTGGTTACATCATGCAAAGGCAGGATTCAGCAGAGGCATGAAGTACACCAAAAAACAAAACCTACTGGCCTAGAAAACCCTCCAAGAAGTTGCCTGATGGACCATCTAAATTCTTGCATGCTGTTACGCATTTATTCCTTGGTCAATGTCATAAGAGACATATCCAGAGTATTGTTGACTCTGGAACATGCAAGGGTAAGGGACTCATCCTAAATCTATATTTATTAAAAAACTTCTGGCATTCAAAAAAAAAAATTATAATTTTCATAGAATTCAGAAGAAAGAGTTGACAACAGAACTGGAAAATTTACCTGAAAAGTTAGACTCCAGGAGCCCAGACTGTTTAACTTTTCCAAAAAAAAAGATGAAGTGCCTCACTGATAGCCTGTACATATCCAGATTACAGAGCCTTCTTTCCAGAAGAAAAGATTAAATAATTTCCAAAGTAGGAATTTGTTGCTAGTCAAACTCAGAAGTAAGAAA